GGACGCACTGCCTGCCGAGATCGAAGCAGGAGCTCGCCGTGCCTACCGTAACATGGGTGGCTCCTTCAGCTCGGCGCGGGCAATGTTGGCGGAGGCGTCGGGGTTCGAGACCGACGGGCGGGACGCCCGCGTTCCGCCCTTCTACGCGTCCAGGCGCAGGAGGGCCGCCACGCTGATCAGCTCTCCAAGCCCTGGCCGCCCCGCGCTCCCCCTGTGGTGCGTCTGCGGCCTCTGCATCTCTCTGGGCGCCGCGGCACCGACCGCAGGCCACGGGCTTAGTCGGGCTGCGCCGTCCACGCCCGCTCGCCCCCCGCGCACTCCCTTTGTGCGCGATTCTCACCTCACTCCCGCGTATCTCGACCGTCGCTCGAGATCGATTGATGCCTTCGAGCTGTGGTTAGCTGAACACACTGGCGTGCCACCCGCCACACTTTACAAAAGCGGGATACTTCTCGCCCGCTTCCTCGCCACCTTCGGCGTGTGGCTTCATGATGCAGGCTTCCCTCATTATATCCTGGTCCATGCCATCTTGGGAATCCAAAGCGCCCATCCGCATTGGAAGGCTTTCCTGACAGAAGCTTGGGACGTAGCGAAGCAATGGAAGCTCGCGGAGCCGCCAAAGCTCCGTCCCCCCTTGCCACGCGCGCTGCTTCGCGCCATGGTGGGGCTCTGTCTAGCCTGGGACTGGCCTGTGATGGCGGCACTGCTGCTCATGGGCTTTACGATGTTCCTCAGGCCGGGCGAACTGCTGGCGTCACGCCGCTGTGACTTGTCGCTCCCATGCGACCGTCTCGAAGTTGAAGGGGATGCTTTTCTTTCGATTCTTGTTCCAAAGACCAGAAGAACGTATCCGACGCAACATGCTCGCTGCTCTGATCGGGGCACGGTGAAGATATTGAATCAAGTGTTTGGGAGGCTAGCTTCCACCGATCCTCTCGCCCCCTTCGGCGCGAGCGGCTTCCGTACTCGGTGGAATCATCTGCTTTTGGCTCTGGGCGTCCCTCTTGCCCAAGCAGGTCAGGGGCTCAACCTGACGCCCGCTTGTCTGCGGGGCTCTGGCGCTACGGACTTCTATATCGCTACAGAAGACGTCCCTCGCGTCTTCTGGCGAGGACGTTGGCGTCAAGCTTCCAGCGCCGAGCGCTATCTGCAAGCCGCCGCAGCCTCCACAGTCCTTGCTGCGCTGCCCGAGCATGCACGGGCTCGTATCTTGTTCTTCGCCACCGCCAGCGACCGCCTTGTCGCTTCGTTTCTCCAAGTCGGCCCCGCCGCTTGGCCTGCCCTGCTTGCGGCCGCCCGCCAAAACCTTGTCACTTCGCAAGGTCCTTGAGCACGGGTATGGCTGCCTCGCCGACCTCGGCGACCAGACGGACTCCACCGTCTGACGCGCGGCGCCCCGGCTTGAGCGCGCGGGACGGGCCTGCCCATTTTGGGCCGCCCCGCGCGCGCACGCCGCGGCCGCGCTCGGAGACAGCTCGCTGGCGCGCGAGCGGGAGAATGCTTCTTCTATTCTCTGTGAGCAAGCTCCTGCTGTCTCCGCAGCTTCTCTGCCCCCCTCCCTCCTCTCCCATTCTAAGGCTGACGGGCGCTGCCTCGCCGACCTCGGCGACCAGACGGACTCCACCGTCTGACGCGCGGCGCCCCGGCTTGAGCGCGCGGGACGGGCCTGCCCATTTTGGGCCGCCCCGCGCGCGCACGCCGCGGCCGCGCTCGGAGACAGCTCGCTGGCGCGCGAGCGGGAGAATGATGATGATGATGATGATGATGATGATGATGATGATGATGATGATGATGATGATGATGATGATGATGATGATGATGATGATGATGATGATGATGATGATGATGATGATGATGATGATGATGATGATGATGATGATGATGATGAGATGATGATGATGATGATGATGATGATGATGATGATGATGATGATGATGATGATGATGATGATGATGATGATGATGATGATGATGATGATGATGATGATGATGATGATGATGATGATGATGATGATGATGATGATGATGATGATGATGATGATGATGATGATGATGATGATGATGATGATGATGATGATGATGATGATGATGATGATGATGATGATGATGATGATGATGATGATGATGCTGATGATGATGATGATGATGAGGAGGAGGAGGAGGAGGAGGAGGAGGAGGGGAAGTCGTTGTCCGACTCGGGGGCGTGCCCCCCCCTGCCCGGCCCTCGGCACAGGGGCAGGGGGTCACGCAGCGGGCGACAGGCGAAGTGCGCCAACCTCCACAAGGGAGGCACGCCGCGTGACGAACGAGATCCCACACCGAAGCCATTTCTCACACGGCTTCGAGGCCTTAGACTTCTCGCCCTGGCATGCTCAGTTGCTCTTGCTCTCGAGCACGCTCGCACCGCACACTTAGGCTCTTAATCGCATAGGCTTCGCCACACGAGTAGGCAGATCATCTGGCAGCCACCGCATTTCTATCGAGGTTGAAGGCAAATGTGATGACTGGTGTAACGCCCCATGTCAAGACAAAAACAACGTCTCGCGGGCTGCTGCAGCCACAGGAGGCACCCGAGACAGCGCAGCCACTGTCACCAGCGCAGCACCCCCCGATTGCTGCCAGGTCGTCCTATACGGCGAGGGGCGCACACGCGCAAGCGCAGCGCCCCCCCGCATGCTGACAAGGCGCTCTGAACGGGGGCGACTGCGGCTGCTGCGGCAGAGACGGCACAAGCAGCCTGCATCGATGCCAGAAATCTCAGCAGCGGCATCGACAGCGAGGCTCTCCAAGTCACGCTCTGCCTCTTCGGGGAGGTCGTCGAGGCCAGGATCGACGCGGACTACACCGGGCCGCACCGCGGGCGCGGCTTCGTGCGCTCCGCCACCGAGGCCGCTACCAGGCGAGTCCTGGCGTACGCCTGCGGCGCGAACGGCGTGCGCATTGGACTGGGCCGCACCAAAATGGTCATCAACACAGACCCAGGGGGACGCCGTCTGCACGGCCATCACGCTTGTGGACTCCTTGGACCGCACCAGTAGCTCCATAGACAGCATGTGGCCGCCCCTATCCTCCAACCACCGAGCCCTGCTCCCCTTTTTTATCTTCCTTTGTCCCCCTCCCCCCTGGTTCCGCCGCCTGCGCGGCCGTCCCCCTTTCCCTCCTCGCTCCTCACTCTGCGTCCCGCGCCCCTTCTGCACCGTCACCTGTTCTTCCCCAGCAGGCAGAACAGGGGGGCGCAACGTGAACAGCTGTCTCAAGACGCACGAGCGTCGCAGCAGGAGCAGCTGCCACGCAAGGCCATCGCTGCCTCCGCGGCGGCGGCGCGTGAGGCCACCGCCGGCGAGCGCGGACCCCCGCCGCCGCCACCACGGCCTCCACCTCCTTCTCCTTCGATGATCCTCCCCCTCCTTACCTCTTTGCCTTCCTTCCTTCGTGATCTTATCCCAGTGTCCCTCAGGCCTTCAGGTCTTGCGCGAGGTCGCGTGGCGGCTCTCTGGGCGCATACTACACTTGCGACCCGCAGGCTGGCGCTGCACCCGCTCATCATTCCGATAGCATCTACCCTAAGCCTGGGCGGCACTTGCCCCGTGGAGGTTGTTGTACCCCATGTCGACTTTAACCGCTGCCCTTCCCCACCCCTCGCCAATCCCCGCACCGCTGGCATGCCCTTTCGCCGCTCCTGCCCTTCGGCACCACCCTGGGCTTGTTCACCCTGTTTTGCGGCGCCTGCGTGGCCGACCGCGACCGCTCCGCGTCGCCTGCCGTTGCACCTCGGTTGTCCCACCCGCTGAGTCAATTAGGGTTCGTGCTAAACCCGAGCAGAATTTGCGAAAATCACGGGGGTCCTGGGACCGAGGAGGTCTGTAGGATTGCTGCACTTCTATAGCCTCGACCGACCACAGTCGAAGGCCCCCAGCCACAGCGCACTGCGGCCAGCGCAGGGAGCAGCGCCTTGGGGGAGGATTTGTGTGAGGAACACCATGAGGACCGGGAGCAGGAGGAAGAGGAAGAGGAATACCACGGCCACCGTGCCGCCGTCGTGGAAGGCAGACACCTCCCCCAAGCACGGTGGAACTCCCCTAAGTGGCCCCTCTTCGGTCTGGGTGCCCTAATCCTCCTTGCAGGGGAGGGCACCAGTCGCGGAGATGGGGGTCACTTTGAGGGACTTCCTATGTGAAAGGGGAAAGGCCCTTCTGCCTTCCCATTTGGCGAGCGAGTGTGGCCACCCACCTCCACGGCAAGTGGCACCCGCCAACTGTTCTTACTTTGATATTCTACTTCCTCAGGGTTGGTTTTTTGGCCAGCCTTGGGGGGAGCGGCAGCGTTCGACGAACTCCATTACCATCTGTGTCTCATTGTGTCAGTGTCTCGGAAGGAGGAGTAGGAGGAGGAGGGGGACGATGAGGAGGAGAAGGAGTAGTAGTAGTAGTAGTAGTAGTAGTAGTAGTCGTAGTAGTAGGAGGAGGAGGAAGAGGAAGATAAGTATTACTATTAGGAATACGAGTTATCACAATAAAAAGAAGAATCACATTTATTAATATCAAACATACAAATAATACGTTGAAAGATAGGTCGAAACATAATGTTACTAACACTTATAGTAATAATGATATACATACGAGCAATCATACGAATGAAATTATTAATAGCACTAACAAGGGTAGTAATTCTAAACTTAAGAAGATGAATAATACCACCAATAACACACAGACATTTATTACTACTATGTTTACTACTAGTATGATAATAATAAGAAGAGTGAGAAGAAGGCCAATCATAAAACTGAATATAACAAGAGCACAATTACTAGTAGTACTAATACAGTAACAACAATAATGTAAATACTAAAACGAACATTAAACTAATACTAGCAATACTAATGATACTACTAATAATACGAACCATAATAAGAGTTATGAGACTAATAATCATAAGAAAAGGAGGAGGAGGTCAGTCTGCTCGTCGGGAGGGTGGAACCCGCACGCCCGGCCGCCCTCCCAGGTGGCCAGACCAGAGGGTCACAGGCTCGACCCGGCGGCGCACAAGGTGCCCTTTTTTCGATCTGGGGGGTCTCCGAGAGAGGTGCTCCGAAGGCCTTCGGAGGTCGCCGGATCTCTGGAGGCCTCCCGAGGCCTGTGGCCCTCCAGAGGCCTCCGGGGATCACCGAGCGCGTTCCACTACTCGCAAAGTGCCTACTCGCAAACGTCCGAAAGACGCATGTCTGCTTTTATGTAATTTGTCGTAGATCCTCCGCGCAGGGTCCGGGCCATTTGCGAGCAGTTACTTTGCGAGTAGTGGAACGCGCTCGTCTAGGGGACCTCCAGTGCCGCCTCGGCGCGGGCTTTCCAGGTTGAGAACCCTGTGGGGGCTTGTTTCTGGGCCTCGGCGCCACCAGGAAACAACCCACGGCGCGAAATCCACGCCAAAGAATCGGTACGATCGAAATGGGTACGGAGAGAGTGGGTACGGATACCAACACCGGATCCCGCCGTTTTATGCAGGACTCGTTGTGGGTGTCGTCGTGGCCGCTGTCGCTTTTGGACATCATGTGCTGTTGGGCATTGAACCCGTTTTTCCCCGTACCCATTTCGGGCGTCCCAAAAGATGGGGTCGACGGCTTTTGGGGGCCTCCGAGAGTGGGTATCGTTCCATGCTGAAAAGTTCATGCGGTGTCAGAAGCTGGGGCCCACGTCGTCAAGATAGGAGACTTTCCCATTCTCTAAGTAGTTTTTCTATGTACCTTCCCCAAGCTCCCGCCGGACAGACGACATCATCAGCAGTTACGAAGTTGGAATCATGGAGTTGGGATTGTGCAAAGCTTGGAACGGCATCATCAGCAACATAGCAGTGAAGAAGTTGGGATTGTGAGAAGTACGTTGGTGGCCTTAAAAGGAATGTGCCCAGGAGGCTTCAGACCCTGGAGGACTCCTTGTCTAATCAGGGCGGCGGTGGCCTCCGTGGCCACTCCACGATTGGAGTCCCACTGGCTTCTAGACCCTGGATTCTTGATCCAATGGTTCCTTATCCGGTGCCCTCGCTGTAGCGCCCGAGCGCAGCCCGCGCAGGCTGCGCTCGGGCGCGCGCTGGCCTCGGCTTCAGCGCTCCCCCTGCTCCAATTCCCGAAGAAGACGGAGGGCGCCTTTCTCTGCCTCTCCGTTTCGCTGCGTGCAGCTGGCATCCGTGGCAGAGGTGCGGGGGTGGGGGATTTCCGACGGATGCGTCGGGATGGTACAGAGCGAGTGTGGCTGTTCGGCGAAAGGCTCGTTGCGGATGCTACCGCTTCAGGGCTGCACCCCCAGACGCTTATCGATTGGGAAATTCGTGTGTCGGGTTCCCCCTGGCGGTCCGCCGAGACACCTGCTGTTCGGGCTCAGTGATAGAGACTTTGGCAACTTTTTGTTCGGGGTAGCAACGTGTTGCCGCACCGTGAGCTGTCTGATTTCAGTGCGTTCGGCAAGATCCATCGGACTACGCTTCTCAGTCGCAGGGCCGGGGACTGCGTGCTCATCCTTCGTGCATTCCCAGTGGGCGTCTGGGTCCTGGACGTCTTGGCGTCACCTGTGTGTTCTCGCTCAGCCACCAGCCCACGAACCATGATCGGGCTACATTTCAGGGCCAGAAGCTCCCCTACAGCTGTGCCTGAACCGTGGCTCTCTCCCGAAGTCGCTGTCCTGTGTCTCCCAAGGGAAGGGGGTCGAGGTGAGGGCAAGGGGCAGTACAGTGAATCGCTCCATCGTTCGGCAGGCTTCGATCACGTATTTCATTGCGCCATGAACTATCGCCAATGCATGCGGTAGGACGCACAACATGAGAGTTTGGGGCTGCCGATCGATCAATGCCGAGTGTGTGAAGTTCACGCCTGGATAGACACGATGATATGACGACGCTGGCTGCGACTATTGTGGTGACGATCGATGTTGATTGTGGCCGGTGGTGTTCACGAGAAGTAGAGTCAGATCCACATCGAGATTGGCTGTGGTGGTAGCTGTGATAATGATACTAGCGATCACTGCGGCACGCGACAGAAGGAGCAAGTGGGAGGGGGAACGTGGACACCTCGGGGGAGTGCGGCCTGCTGGTTGCTACAGCTTCCAGCTCTTGTGTGAAATGAGCGCTCCAGGATGCAGCTGCGGTCTGGTCGCTGAGCGCTCGCGAGGCTGCTTTTTCCCCCTCCTCCTCCTTTTCTGTTTCGCCAGGAGGAGGAGGAGGAGGAGGAGGAGGAGGAGGAGGAGGAGGAGGAGGAGGAGGAGGAAGAGGATGAAGAAGGAAGAGGAGGAGGAGGAGGAGGAAGAAGGAAGAGGACTTTGGCCGATGACTTTGGCCTGCGCCCTCCTGTTTTTGATCGCATCTGCAGCTTCCCCGAGCGTGACCCCGCCTCACACCATCTGGCGAGCTCGCGTGGTTGGGCTTCACTCTCAGGAGGGGAAGAAACACACAGGCACAATTCATCGCCGATTCCCAGGAAAAATGGGAAACTATGGGAAGTGGGCGGGAAGACAAAACCCAGAAAGTATGGGAAGATATGGGGAATCTTTCTGTTTGTGTGTATTTATTTGTGTGTCCCAGGGCCCCTTCATTCACGCGGCGACCTCGGACCCCCACGAGCTCCATGACTGCCTCTCGTTCGGATGGTGAGGTACAGGTTTGTCTTGCTGCCGAGAACGCTGGCGGCGCATCACCAGCCGCGCCCTCCGTCGCAATTCCACACGTGGTTCCCTGGCGAGGTGTTGCGAGCAGGGTCGTGGGGGGGAGCCTCCAGGAGACAGAGCGGGGTCGACGGGCGCCGATCTTACTGCAACGGTGGTCGGCCCGAGCAGCCCCCAGCAGTGGCCAGCCTGGGGACCTCGGGAACACTCCCGGAGGCCTCTTGGAGTCATCTTGGGGCTCTCTTGGGGTCGTGGGCTTCTCGGCGCCTCTCGGGTCTCCTCCTGTGCTCTCCAAGGAACCTTTGGGGGCTATCCCGGAGGCCGTATGACAAAAAGAAAGAGGGGGAACAACATTCTTGACGTTTCGCGTGTCCCCACCAGATTTAGGCCCGTGGCCTGGACCTCTCACTCGGCGACTGCGAATCCGCGTCCGCCCGCGACCAAAAAAAGTGTCCCCACCAGCCCACCCAGAAACGGTTGCCAGGGGAGTTGCTTACTCAGGGACGCGGGGAAGCATGCTGTTGCACAGCCGCCGTGGAAACGTGTCGGAGGGAGCGCAGAAAACAGCGGGAACATTTGTCGAGTGAGTTAGCACATGTCCCCATGCCACGGCGGCTTCGTAGATGCCCCCCCGCGTTCGTCTTACGAGCCTTCCAAAAAGCCTCCTGGACCATCTTGGGGATATGAGGAGGAGGAGGATGAGGAGAAGGAGGATGATGACGAGGAGGAGGAGGAACAAGAGAAACGGAGGAAGAGGAGGAGGAACGCGGCACGAGCTTGGAGCTTTCGGGTGGGATCTGCATTTCGTGCCCCACTCTTTGAAGGTTTCTCCTTGGATGCTCGAAATGGCCGTCTTGGGGCCTTCTCGTGGCGCTTTTTGGGCGCTCTTGGGTGCTCTTGGGCCCCTCCTGGGCCCCTCTTGGGGCCCCTCTTGGGGCTCTCTTGGGCCATATTGGGGCCGTCTTGACGCCTCAAGTGTCCATCGGAAGCGAGGACGCTAGAAGGCACAACACATTGATTGTCATCAGGTTTTACACAGATATTTTGGCCTCTTCGGGGATGCCTTGGAAAGCCCGAAGGGCACTTGGAACCGTCTTGGGGCTGTCTTGGGGCCTCTTGGGTGTCTGTCGGAGGCTATCTTGACCAATCTTGAGCTATCTTGATCCATCTCTGAGCAAGTGTGAGCGAATAGTGAGAGCTCCGTCCCCCCCCCCAGGCCCAGGGGAGGGGTAGGGGGAGGGGAAAACCCTTCCTCAGAGCAGGGGAAGGCGGGAGCTTCGGCACAGAGAAGACAAAGCTCGTGAAACCACCCATGCCCGGATTAGCGAACCCCGCTTCGAGTCAGGGAACTTGCCTGTTGGGCCCGTCTCGGGACTTTCCCGGTGCCCACCCCTCTTCGACCCCCCTCGCGGCTGCCCCTCGCGATTCTTGTCGCGAGGCCGCCCGTGGGCGGGCCCGGCACGTCCCCGCTGCGTGCGCTGGGCCGGTCCGCGCTCCTCCCGCTCTCCGCTGGGCTCCGACGCCATGCCGCCGCTGCGCACGTGGCCGCGGCGCCAGCTCTTTAGTGCGCCTTTGGGGGCGCGGCGTGCGCGCTCTGTGCCCTCTCCAGCCTGGTTCCACCATGTCGCTGCCCTTCCGGCCGCGACGCCACGACGTGCGTGTGTGTGTGTGTGTGTGTGTGTGTGTGTGTGTGTGTGTGTGTGTGTGTGTTTGTATGCTCGCTGCCCTTCGCCGGAGCAGTCCCTCTGCCCAGCCGCCGACGCAAAAGGTGTGTGTGTGTATGCTGAGTTTACCTTGAGTCGAGTTGGCTCCTCGGTTTTCTGGCCGCTGCACGATTCCCTTGGATTCGCAGCTTTTCCTCCACATCACCCATCGCTGCAGTTGACAGTGTGCATGGTTTTTGCACCGTGCCTTCGACTATGCTCGATTTCAGTTGGCACTTCATTTGCCGTACGCGCCTGAGGATCCTCTGCGCAGCCGACTTAAACAGTGTCTGTGTGTGTATGTGTGTGTGTGTGTGTGTGCGTGCGAGCGCGCGCGCGCGCGTGTGTGTGTGTGTTGTGTGTGTGGGCTAAGTGCGCGTGCGCCTTGCGAGGTGTCCTTTGTGGTCTTCTCGTTCTCCAAGATCACGCCGCAGTTGCCAGAGTTCGCGTGCGTCTACGAGGCGGTAGGGCGCGGCGTGCTCGCTGGCGCTTGGAACTTCACCAGGCTGCAGGCTGGCTTGGTGGGTACCGCACTCGCGGACTCAGGCTGCTGCCTGGAGGACGCGCTGCCCGCGTTGCTCCGGCCCCGGCTTGCGGAGTTGGTGGCGGAGCGGGAGGGCGCCCACGAGATGGTGGTAGACGAGCTGCGGTACCTCGTGCATGCGTGTGCGAGCCTCCCGGAGCATTCCCGCGTGGACGTCCACGAGGTGGAAGCGCTCGCCGCCCGCACCCGTGAGTTGGTCGTCTCCGCGAACTTTGCGAAGGCGGCGCATCTGGTGGTCGGCTGGCTGCAGCTCGAGGTGCCCCTGGGTTCGAAGCGGGCGCACCTGGAGGCGCTGCGCTCGTGCTGCGACCAGCTCCACGGCCTGAAGCCGCACTACCCAGCACATCCGCTGCCCTCCGGTGGCTTGGCGCCAGCGATGGCGCAGCTCCTTGCCCGCGAGAAGGACTTGCAGGGACGAGGACCTCCGCTCACGCCCCCGGCGCTCCGGAGCCTGACGCACGCGCTGGTGGAAATCAGTCGGGGCGCTCGCTGGGAAGCAGTGCGGCGCAGCAGGAGCCTGAGTTTCGACGACTGGGCCGAGATCTCACAGCTTGTGGTCGGCTTCTGCGACGCCCACCGCGCGGAGGTGGCGGCCGACAACGCGCTGCGCGCCGAGGCTTCAGGGGGCCGGCCCCTGCCCGGGTGGGCCGCCGAAGCCCTTGGCCACACGTTCAGCGAGGCATTCCAGCAGCCTGCTCCCGGGGGTGCCCCGCCTGATCTTGGAGCGCTGCTCACGGCCCTGCGGCTCCTGCACCACTACCGGCCCTTCCCTGCGCCGAGCCAGGCCTTCTTCGCCTGGGCGGCCGCGCAGGTCACCGAGCACCACGGCCGCTCCACCGCGGAGGGCGGCGGGGGCGCGGCAGCCCTCGCCGAGGTGGTGGGCGAGCTGGTGCCTCGGCTGCCTGCCGCAGACAGGGGCCGCCTGGCCGCCCTGCTGCTCGGCGCTCGGCCGCGGGGCCGTCCGGCGGCAGTGGCGCTGGGCCTCCCCCCGCGCGCCTCAGACCTGACAGCTGCGACGGAGGGGGCGGAGCGCCCTCCGGCCTCTCCCAGGCCGCGGCTGCTGGCGGGCCCAGCGGCTGCCGCTCCCGAGCAGGTGCAGGCGTCGCCTGGGGCGCTCGGCGTCGTCCCGGCGGCCGCCCCTGGCGGCCACTCCTTGGGCGCGGTGCTCGCACCTGCTGCGGCAGCCCTCTCGGCCACCAGCTCTGGCCCAGGCGTGGGTGCTCGCGCTGGCGGCGGCGGCAGCGGCCTGTGGGGCCTTCTGCGGCCCGCCCGCCCCGAGGGCCCAGGAGCGGTCCTCGCAGTAGCCGCGGCTGCCGCCGCAGAGGCGGCCAGACCGCCCGCAACCGTCGCCATCGACGCGGCCGCTGCGCGGCCCACGGTCTCGGCGCCGTCGGAGCACGCGCACGCCGAAGTCTCGCTGTCCGCGGAGGCTCCGCCGGCGCCCCAAGCTGTGGCAGGCATGGCTGCCGCGCCGGGGGTGGCCGTGGCTCCCAGTGAGCCCACGGAAGGGTGCTCCCCGTCCGAAATCGACGAGCTGATGGAGAGCCTCACGAGCGCCCTGCACAGGGTCGAGGCCCTGGAGGCCCGGCTGCAGGAGCGCGAGGCCGCCGGCCGGGCGGCGGAGCTCCAGGCGGCCCAGGCTGCGGTGGAGGCGCCTCTGCCGGCGGCCGCGGCCGCGGCCGCGAGCCCGAGCAGGGCGCCGGTGCAGGTCGAAGAAGGGCACACGAGCAAAAGCACAAGCTGAGTTCTGCTACGCGGAGGTCCTCGCGGATTTCTTGGGGCGGCGCTGGAACGCCCTCCCCTGGCGTGCCTGCGTCCGCAGGGGCGGCGCCGGAGGCGCCGCCAGGGGGGGCCCAGCGCCGACCCGCGAAATCCGAGCGGCCCGCCGAGCGTTTATGTTCAACTGCCGCTTTCTTCTCTTCTGATCAGGGCAGCCGCCGCTGGCGTGTCGCCGACACCGCCCTCGCCGACGAGGCTCGGACGGCGCCAAATGTGCCCCAGACCAGATCGATGCATGCTTCCGCGCCTGCTTGCACGCTCGGCGGCGCGCATCGATGTGCTCTGGCCCCAGACGTGCGAGATGCCCTGGTTGTTGTTCCAGTGCGGGGCCCCCGGAAGTCCCGACTTTTTTTTCTCTGGGACTGGTGTTTCACCTCGAGCCGCTCTTTGACGGTCCTGGGGCCGCCGGAGGCGTGACCTTTCCAGGGCGCGAGCATGTCCCAGAGATCCGATGTCGTGTTCTTTCCAAGACGGAGTCCCCGGAAGTCTCGACCCATTCCTGAGGACCAGTTTTTCATCCCGAGTCGTTCTTTGACGGTCTCGGGGCCCCGCGAGGGCCCGCAGATAGGCCGAAAGCTGTGACAAAAACCTCCGTCTTGATTTTTCCAATGCGTTGGCTCTCTGGGGTCTGGGGGCGGTGCACGGCCCGCGTCGTGGGCGAGGTCAACGCGCAGGCGGCCGCGTTCCGCGGCTGGGTGCCCGGGGCGCTGCTGCAGCAGGCCGGGCCGGGCGCGGCGGCGGCCTCGGGGTCGTCTGCGCGGCGCAGGCCGGCGAGCGGTCCGGCGGTGGCGCGGCGGTGGGCAGAAGGGGTCGGCGCGAGGGTCGGGCGCAACGTCGGGGTTCCTCCTCCTACTCCTCCTCCTCTTCCTATTCCTCGTCCTCTTCCTCTTCCTCCTCCTTCTCCTCCTCCTCCCCCTCCTCCGCATCATCATTATCATCATCATCATCATCATCATCATCATCATCATCATCATCAGCATCAGCATCATCATCACCATCACCATCACCATCACCATCACCATCACCATCCTCATCCTCATCCTCATCCTCATCATCATCATCATTCACAGTACCATCATTATCATTATCATTATCGTTATCATTGAGATGAACATTCACATTATCAGTATCATTAACATTTTCAGTATCGTTTTCATTATCACGATCCTTATCATCATCATCATCATCATCATCATTATCATTAACATTAACATCATTTTTATCATTATCATCATCAGTATCATTTGCATTATCATTATTTTTGTCACTTGCATTCTCAGTATTAGTATCAACATCATTAACATTGTCATTCTCATTATCATCATCAACACCGATCTCATTATCATCGTCATTATCATTATCATTATCATGTTTATTTTCTTTTGCATTGTCGTTATCATTACCCTCATCAGTATGGTTATCATTATCGTTATCAGTATCGTTATCATCATCATTATCAGTACCAGTAACATTATTAGTATCATTCTCAGTATCATTATCCGTATCATTATCATCATCGTCAGCATCATCATTATCATCATCATTATCCTTGTCATTAACATGATCAGTATCATTATCATTATCCTTATCTTTATCATTATCGTTATCATGATCATTATCATTACCATTATCATTATCATTCTCATTGTCATTATCATTCTCACCATCATTATCATTGTCATTATCATTTTCATTATCATTTTCAGTATCACCATCATTATCATTAGCAAATGCATTATCATTATCAGTATCATTCTCATCAGCATTACCATTCTCATTACCATTATCATTATCATTATCAGTATCATTATCATTCTCATTATTATTATCATTAGCATTATCATTATTGCCATTCTCATTACCAGTATCATTATCATTATCATTATCATTATCATTATCATTATCATTATCATTATCATTATCATTATCATTATCATTAGCATTAGCATTATCATTATCATTATCATTATCATTATCATTATTGTCATTAGTATGTTCATTATCATTACCGTTACCATTTACCATTATCATTATCATTATCATTATCATTATCATTATCATTATCATTATCATTATCATTATCATTATCATTATCATTATCATTATCATTATCATTATCATTATCATTATCATTATCATTATCATTATCATTATCATTATCATTATCATTATCATTATCATTATCATTATCATTATCATTATCATTATCATTATCATTATCATTATCATCATCATTATCATTATCATTGTCATCATCATCGTCATCATCAGCATCCTCATCCTCATCCTCATCCTCATTCTCATCCTCATCCTCATCCTCCTCCTCCTCCTCGTCCTCCTCCTCATCATCATCATCATGATCATCCTCGTCATCATCATCATCATCATCATCATCATCATCATCATCATCATCATCATCATCATCATCATCATGGACCCCAGCGCGGGCGTTTAAGGTTGAACGCCGCCCGCGGCCCAGAATCGGCCCACTGGTGAACGATCTGGCGTTTCTGAAACCGTCGATCAACCATCAGCGGGCGAAGAGATGGCACACCATAATCTTTTCCGCTGTCGGGGACGCCTACACCTGGGCGGCTGGAAAGTTTACGCCCCTGCGGTGCCACCGCAAGGGTATGAGCTTTCCAGCCGCCCTGGGACAGGCGGCCCCGACAGCGAAAAAGTTTATTCTCTTGCACAGCTGTGCTCTAGAGCTCGGACCGCTTTATTTTCGTTCGTCGTCGTCGTCGTTCGTTCGTTCGTCGTTCGTGCTTCCCCCCACGGCCACAAAAGTAGACTCCTGGAGGAAGGAGGCAACAGCCTCCTGTCCCTCGCAGCTCCTTGGTGCAAGAGCCAGGGCACGCGTGCCACTTGTTTGATACCGTTCTTTGCCAGCCAAAACCAAGCTTGAACGATCCCCGCGGTGCCAGGACCCACGCCGGGTCGGCACGGCGCGAGCCTGCTGTGCACGCGCGGCCGCACGTCTCTCCAGCTCCCGGCCCGCGCGTGGCCGGGCGCGGTGGCCCTCTGCGCGCGCGCTCGGCGCGCGGCCTCCGGACGCGCCGCACGGCCATCCGGCCGCGCGTGCTTCCGGCCCCCTGGTGGGACGAGGGCCTCTGCTCAGGGGCAGCGATAGCGGTGAGATGCGTCAGGCGCCTCGTTTCGAGGGGCGAGGTGGAAGGCTTTTCGGCGGTTGCGTGGGCTCTCGGGGGCTTTCCAGCCTCGGGGTGCCTAGCCTCCAGCGGCTGCGCCTCGCCGAGGGCGTTCCGGTGGTGCCCGGATCGTCCCGAGCGGCCGTCAGAGAGCCGAGTTATGGCCCGAAACCCGCCTGATAGGGGATGGGCCGAGGGGGGGATGCATCGACCCCCAATCGCCCATTGATCGCAGACAGTGGCCCGATAGCCCTGCCCCTCACGGGAACGTGCGGGTTCGCTATGAGGGGGAGGGTATCCTCGATCTATCGGCGATATGTCGTCGATTCCAGCTTGATGTTTCCCCCCCTGATCTGGTACCTCTATAGTTGCCCCTCAGCGAGGGGTCCCGCGAAGACATCACGTTGGCAGGTGTCCAGGTCTCCCAACTTGGATCCGAGTGGATGAGGTCGGAGGATCGCGCCGCATCGCCGAGGCATCTGCGATGCAGCTCGATGTGGAGCCCGATTTTCTCCATGCACGCCGACTGCCCCGATGCATCGCCGGCGTCGCCGACGCGTCGCCGATGCATTCGCGATGCGTTGGCGATGCGGCGTGATCCTCCGACCCCATCTATTCGGACTCCGTTTGGGAGGCCTCCAAGGTATTTGGTCATTTTAGGCCTCTGGGGGCCCTAGCCAGGCCCTGGGACCGTCGAAAACCAGGTCGGAGTGAGACGCTGTTCCCAGGACGGAGCCGAACCTTCGGAGGTCGAGGGTGCGAGAGAATCAAGACGAAGAGGACTGGGGCATGCAATCGCTTCAGTGTCGCCGCTTGCATCATCTTTCGTGCCTCTTGCTGCTTGCATCATCGTTGCCGTTTGCATCACGCTGCTTCCTCGTTGCTGTTTGCCTGCGCACTCGTGGGGGGCCTTCGGGGGGGCCTTGCTGGGGGCCTCTGGAGGGCTGTTGTGGACCATCTTGGGCCACCTTGGGGCCATCCTGGGGCCTCTTGGAGCTCTGTTGAAGCCACCGTGGGGCCTGGTACCCATTGATCCCCTCGCGTGGGTCGCTTTCGGGCCCCTTTGGGCTGTCTTGGGGCCCTCGTGGTCTGGGTTATGAGGAGGCGGAGGCTTCGTGGAAACCTCCTCAAGAGTCCCCAGGGCTTCTGCCTGCTTGGGCTGCCACTCCCCCCGCCCCTCTCTCCCCTTGCGCTCCGCCGAGGTGGGTTGCGAGCGCAGGGCGTTCAGCTTCGATGAGTTCCGGCAGACCAACTCGGCCCAGTTGCAGTCGGAGCGGCTGAGGGTTCTTCGCCACAAACGAGAGGGCAGGGGTGGACCTAAAAGGTGTTCTGGCGATTTCGTGGGGCGTGTTTTCGTTTCGACGTCGTTGTACAGCAAAGGCGGATGGAAGGCAAGACGAAGGAAAACGAAAACCATAAACGGAAGCGAAAGACACTGTTCAGGCCGAGCCCTGCGAGAGGGGCCCGAGGGGTCTCTTGCCGATGTCGGCTCGGGCCGAGGCGCTCGTCCCAGCGAGAGGCGCTGGGCCGACCCAGCTCCCCTCCTTCGGGTATAGCCAGGACCCCGGGGTGAGGGGACCTGGTCAGTGGTAGGGCCCTGGGGCCCCTCAATTGGCCAGATTTGCTAAACCATGTTTGCCGTAGCTGGTGTTTTTCGGGTGACGGCAGTTCCAGTCAGCGGAAAGGGGACGGGGGGGCGCCCCCGGTACAAGAATCACTAAAAACCAGGTCCCACCAAGCCCAGTTCTGCCAACGCCCGACTCATGCCCCATTTCCCCCTCGTGCCGAGGTGCTGGTGCCTCCGGATTACTATCCCATCTTCCCCGCGGCCAAGAAGTGATGGCGCCAGCTCGTTTCCTCTGCCGGCCAGCTCCGCGCCTCGATGTTCCTGTAGTGCCGGACCGACCGGCCAGCTCAGACCGAGTCAGCACGTGCAGCGATTTACGCCATACTTTTTTAAAGTGGTGCTCTGCGAGTCCTCCCTGTTCTCTAGAGTTCGGTCGGGCGTGTCCCCCCACAGGCGGGGTTTGGACGAAACATATGACATACCCCAAAAATACCCCAAAATGGTTAAAACAACAGTCTTAAAATCATCCCCATAATATTTCTGGACTATCTTTGAATGTTCCTCCTGTAGAGGAACAAGCCCGACTCAACTCTAGAGTCTTCTCCCCCTGTTCGGTCCCGCTTGTCCTCCATCGCGTACCAGAGTTTTGAGCAAAGCTCGAGCAACCCTCCTTCAGCGAGCTTTGCGATGTAGCGAGACGGGCAACCTGCCTGTACGCTTCGTTCCAAGAGGCACCCCCGAGCTGCTGCGCCACCTGCGGCCGTCGGGTCGACGCAGCGAAAGGATGCGGCTGTTTCTCGTCGTCTGCCTGCCGTCTTGGTCGGTGCGGGGGCAATCGTGCCACTACGGGTCAGCCTGATGGAAGAGCGGAGGTGGAGACGCCCTTCGCCATCAGACGCTCAATTTGGAGCCTGGTGATGGGGGACAAAGGGTTGGAGAATCTCACGCGCCTTGAGACCCCAGAAGGGGTCGGCGGATTCGAGCTCGTTGCAGAGCCCCTCGACGGTCAGGGAGGGCATGCGGGAGAGTCGGCTCGGGATAGGGCGGGCAGTCCGCGAGCAGAGGCTTCAACTGACGTGCTCGATCCAGAACCGGCTCCTCTGCGCGTGGAAGGGCAGCGTCCAAGCAACGTCCTCGGGATGTCATGGCGCTGCAGGGGCATCGCCCTGCCCCCAGCTGCACGGACTATCATTGAGTGGCGATCTCACTGGAGCGCTAGCCACGGTCACAGACTGGGGTCCTCCCGCTTCACCCCAGGTCCGCACTCCGAGCCCAGACTGATGCTCTCGCCCCAGTGTGGGTCGCATCCCTGCCTCACTGGCAATAGCAGTAGCAGCAGCGGCAGTACTTGCAGCAGTAGCGTTAGTGTTAGTGTTAGTGTTAGTGTTAGTGTTAGTGTTAGTGTTAGTGTTAGTGTTAGTATTAGTGTCAGTGTCAGTGTCAGTGTTAGTGTTAGTGTTAGTGTCAGTGTCAGTGTCAGTGTCAGTGTCAGTGTTAGTGTTAGTGTTAGTGTTAGTGTTAGTGTTAGTGTTAGTGTTAGTGGTAATGTGTGTCAGTGTTAGTGTCAGTGTCAGTGTTAGTGTTAGTGTTAGTGCTAGTGCTAGTGCTAGTGCTAGTGCTAGTGCTAGTGTTCGTAGTAGTGGTAGTGGTAGTGGTAGTGATAGCGGCAGCGGTAGTGGTAGTAGTGGTAGTGGTAGTGGTAGTGGTAGTGGTAGTGGAAGTGGTAGTGGTAGTGGTGGCAGTGGTAGCAGTTGTCCACGGCGCCACCTGCGCACCAGAATTTTGGCGGGCTTTGCAGGTGCTGGGCACCCCTGCGGCCGCACGCCTTGATGGCGGAGGACCTCGCATGGCGCCCGCGGCTGAGGGTGCTCTGCCTGCATGGTCGCTGCCAGACTGGAGAGACTTTTTTTCAGAAGCTGGAGCGCCTCGTGGCGAAGGCGGAGGGAATTGCGGAGTTTGTCTTCGTGGACGGACCGGTGGAGCTGCCGCTGCAGCACGGCGACCGCGTGAACACGCGCGGGTGGTTCGCGGAGGAGTCCAGCGCCAGAGGCGAAGGCGTGTCTGGCACGCAGGACGGGCGGGTCCGGGACGTGCTCGTGAGAGCCTGGTCCGAAGACGGGCCGTTCGACGGTGTGCTCGGCTTCTCTGAGGGCTGCCTTGCTGGGCTCTCTTACTGCCGCCTGGCTGCGGGGGCGGGAGAGACGGCGGGGGCAGGCCTGCGCTTCGCGATCTTCGCTGGGGCGCCGGCCGCTGGGGCCGCGGAGGGCGCCGCGCTGCCGATCGCGTCGCTGCACTTTGTGTCGGAGAACGACACCTGCGTGCCGGCCGCGGAGAGCAGGAAGTTCGCGATGGCTTTCTGCGGAGCAGAGGTGAGGGAGCACTGCGGGGGGCACACCCTGCCGCAGCGGGCAGACGACGTCCGCGGCGTCTGCTCCTTCCTCGAGGCACGCCGGGACGAAGTCTACCCGCCCGCGGCCGCCCCCGTGCTGCAGGGCGGCCCCGCCGAGCACCCGGATCCGAGGCTCGACCCTGAGCAGGCCGACGAGCTGGAGGCGCTGGAAGCCATCCTGGCGCCAGGGGAGTTCGCACGGGTGGCCCCTGCATGGCCCGTGCGGCTCGCTGTCCGCCTAGGCAGCAGCACCGCGGACCACACCACGCCCTCTGGCGTGCTGCGGTTTACGATGCCCCCGGGCTATCCGCAGGCCGCGATGTGCCGTTGCGAGCTCGTGACGGACAGCCTCGCTCTCGCGGCCCATAAGAAGGACCTCATGGCGGCTGCGGAAGCAGAGAGGGCGCTGGGCTGCCCGAGCGTCTTCTCCGTGGTTCAGGCGGCGCAGCTGTGGGTTGAGGAGCACCAGGCGGAAATCGTCGCGGTTGGGGCTGGCGGTGCCACCGCCGCCGCCGCCGCTGCAGAGGCGCTCCTGGAGGAAGATGACGAGGAGGGTGACAAGGCAAACAAGTGGTGGCTGCGAGAGGAGGGAGAGGTCGACGAGACGCTGCTGAGGGACGCGGAGCTGCGCGCTGCGGAGCTGCTGCCGAGCCTCCTCGGGGATGCCGCGGCCACCTGGGCACGCGAGTGCGGCGCCGGCGGCTTCGGTAAGCCGTGGGAGTTCGTGATTGGCCTCGTCGGCAAGCCGTCCGCGGGCAAGTCCACGTTCTTCAACGCGGCCACGCAGCCGGACTGCCCCGAGAAGGAGGCGGCCATGGCGCCCCACCCGTTCACCACCATGTCGGGCGCTGCCAGAGGCTGGCCCCACCCCAGGCGGCCCACGCGGTTCCGATCAGGTCCGCTTGGCCTCCAGAGCACCCCTTACGGGTCGCAGGATGATGATGATGATGATGATGATGATGATGATGATGATGATGATGATGATGATGATGATGATGATGATGATGATGATGATGATGATGATGATGATGATGATGATGATGATGATGATGATGATGATGATGATGATGATGATGATGATGATTGATGATGATGATGATGATGATGATGATGATGAGGAGGAGGAGGAGGAGGAGAGGAGGAGGAGGGGAGGAGGAGGGGTTCCAGGGGTTCCACATCGGGGGGTTCCGCATCGGCCTCGCACCCCAGACCCCTTCCGACACCCTCTGTGGTCCGCCCTGGTCCCTCCTTCGAGGCTGCGCCCGGCTGGGGCGACGGGGACCTGCAGAGGCGTCCAGCAGAGCTCCCGAAACGAACCCGGGGCCAGGCCCCATGGGGCAATGGTAGGGGAACAAAAAGTGGCATAAACATACAAACTCGGAGGTCCGCGCGGATTTCTCGGATCGGCGCTGGACCCCCCTCCCTGGCGGCGCCGGAGGCGCCGCCAGGGGGCCCCAGCGCGGATCCGTGAAATCCGCGCGGACCTGCGAGTTTGTATGTTTGTGCCACTTTTTGTTCCCCTCAATGGGGTGAAGGGCGATGAGGAGAAGGAGGGGGACGTCGTTTACCGCTCCTACGAATGTTGTTTTCCTAGAGGCTCCAACTCCTAGGTAGGGTCGCACTGGGACAATGCCCCGTTTTGTTCCCCTAAATGGGGTGAAGGACTGGGGGCACCTCCGTTGTCTCCAGCGGCCTCGGCGGGCCCCCGCTGGCTCACCGGACGCCTCCGAGCGCTTCCCGGCGCCCTCCGCGAGGGGCCTCCGGAGGCCCTTCGAGGGCCCCGACGGGCCTCCGGAGGCCCGTCAGGAGGGAAGAGCACAGAGACACGAAGAGGCGTCGACTCCTAGGCAAAAGTGGGAAACGTCACGGGAGAGGTGGAGGGGGAGGCGGACCTCCAGGAGAGAAATGGAACAGATGGGGGCATCCTGGGTATGGTGTCTACTCGTTTGTGCGTCCCTGGGCCCCTTCAGTCGGGGGCGCGCAAACATGGATTAGCGATCCACGGACTTGGCGCGCGGTCGCCAAGTCCCTGGATCGGGGGAGGTGCCCTCCCCGAGATGCGGCCGGTGATATATATATATATATATATATATATATATATATATATCCGCGACTTCCCCATGGGCACGGGGCCCGTCGCCAATCTAAAACAGGGCTAGGATCGGGATAAATCGCTCCAGAGCGTTCCGGAGCGCTCTCAGAGCGTTCCGGAACGCTCTGGAGCGGCCGCGGCGCCCAATACATCCTCCAAACCCGCCGATTCTCAGAGATTTCGAGTTATCCCGATCCGATTTTGTCCCGATCTTCGCGTCGTTTTACAATCCACGCCCCCTCAAGCCATGCCTGCGATCGCCGGATTCAGGGGTCGCCTCGTGGCAGCCTCCGAGCCATCGACCCCAACGTCGGGTCGGGCTGGTTCGCGGCGCCCTGCCCCGCGGCGCGCCTGGGCCTGGCGGCCACCGCGCGCCCGGAGCACGGCGGCGCCGCGCCCGCGGCGGACGGGGGCGGCCGCAGGCGCTATCCGCTGCTGGTCAAGGAGCGGCGGCCGGGGCGACGCGAAGGTCGGCGACGAGCGAGAGTCAGAGGAGGAAGAGGTACCCGTACCTCTACCCCCTCGCCCGTTTTCCCCTGTTTGGGCCTCCTGGGAGGCCCTCGTAGCCACCCCACCGCTGGATTCGCCTCCAAGTCCTGGCCAGAACGCACCCTGGGAGAGGCCCGGGGAGTAGCGGTATGGGTACCTTTTGGTTTCCCCAGGGAGGGGGGGAGGAGGTGAGAAGGCCAAGGCCTTCTCAGGAGGCGGCGGAGGCCTTCTCGGAAGGCCTTCCTGGCCTCCGGGTAGGTCGGGTAGGTCTTTCGGGTCTTCTGGGAAGGTTTGTAGTACAATCTCTCAGACTGCCAGGGGATTTCTGAGCCTTCTCAGAAGGCCCGCCTCTTTTCATCGGCAGCCTTGAGACGGGGGCCAATGCAAACGGGGGTCAGCCGGGGCGTTGGATCTTGCAGGATCCTGCAGAGCCAGGGGTGCACTGACCCGGGTTGGCACGCAGGATCCCGCACGATCCCGCAGGATCCTGCAGGATTTGTCAGGATCTTGCAAAGCTCGACCGACCCAGGCTGACATCGACCTTCCTCCTCCTCCTCCTCCTCCTCCTCCTCCTCCCACCTCCTCCTCCTCCTCCTCCTCCTCCTCCCACCTCGTCCTCCTCCTCCTCCTCCTCCTCCTCCTCCTCCTGGTGGCTCGAAGACTCGGCGGCGAGATCCGAACCCTGCCCTCGCCGATCAACGACTCGG